AAATATAAAAATAGGTATGTACATATATATTTGTGTATATAGGTATGTGTATTGTTCTAATAATGTGGCAATGTATGATACTCACCTTCCCAACAAGATCACTTAAGACAAAATGGGTAGAGCATAAGCAAATGAGGTAAAGAAAGCTGGTGGTGCCAGCTATTAAAAAGATATAGCGTCTGGGGTCTTAAAGGCTTGAAGGTAAACAAGCGGCCATCTAGCTCAGAAGCAACAAAGCCCACATGGAAGAAGGAAGCACACCAGCCTGTGTGACCAGGAGGTGTCGAAAGGATCAGGTATCAAGCATCAAAGAACAAAAAATCATATTGTAGATGAGGGTGAGTGCAGAGTGGAGACTCAAAGTCCATTGGTAGGCAACTGGACACACCCTTACTGAAGGGTTGTGGGGAGGAGATGAGCCATTCAGGGTGCAGAGTAGCAACGATGAGACAGACAACTTTCCTCTAGTTCTTAAATGCTTCCTCTCCCACCTACCCCCTCAACATACACTATCATGATCCCAATTCTACCTTAAAAATCTGGCTAGACCAGAGGATATACATTGGTACAGATAGGAACTGGAAACACACGGAATCCAGGGCGGATGATTCCTTCATGACCAGTGGTGAGAGTGGCGATACCGGGAGGGTGGAGGAAGGGTTGGGTGGAAAGGGGGAACCGATTACAAGGATCTACATATAACCTCCTCCCTGGGGGATGGACAACAGAGAAGTGGGCGAGGGGAGATGTCGGACAGTGTAAGATATGACAAAATAATAATAATAATTTATGAATTATGAAGGGTTCATGAGGGAGAGGGAAGGGGTAAAATGAGCTTATATTAAGGGCTCAAGTAGAAGGCAAATGTTTTGAGAATGATGATGGCAACAAATGTACAAATGTGCTTGAAACAATGGATGGATGTATGGATTGAGGTAAGAATTGTATGAGCTCCCAATAAAATGATTTTATAAATAAATAAATAGGAAATAAGATCATTCAATTTTGAACATACATAAAAAAAAGAATACAAGATGATACAGCCACTGGGAAAGTTTTTCAATTTCTTAAAGAGTTCATCATATACTTACCATACAATATACTGACTTGACACCTAGATATTCATTTATGAAAAAAATGAATCCACATAAGGATTTATATCTGAATGTGTATAACAATTATTTATAATAAACAAAATGTGAAAATCATGTCTGTCAACTGGTGAATGGATAAACAAAATAAGATTTAGCCACATAATGAACTGGAACAACTACCGATAAATGCAAGTCTACGGATGAACTTCAAAATCATGCTACAGTAAAGAAAAGGAGCATATTGGTAAGGATCCATTTATGTCAAAGTATAGAAAAAGCAAAATTTTTGAGCTAGAAAGCACATCAGTGGCTGCTCGCAGATGGTCATGGGAGCAGAGTTTGACTACAATTGGGCAGAAGGGAATTCCAGGGTGCTAGAAGTATTCTAAAATTAGATGTGCTTATGGTTGCACAGCTGTATAAATTTACTAAAACTTATGGATTGAAAATGTTTATATTTTATACTACGTAAAATATACCTCAATATATCTATTAAACAATATATGTTTTTGCTCTTTCCCTGTCTAGGTAGTTATTTGCAAGAAACTTTCTGAAAAGCTGGTAGAATTTCCATTGCTGGCATCCTGGTACCAGAGAATTCAGCAAGTACCCAAAGTCAAAGCAACAGCTTCTAAGTGTGGGATCCAATTTCTTGAGTTGCCAGTGTTGCTGACCACTTCAAAGGAGAAGCATCCAAAGCTAAGTGACGTCCCAGGGGTAGAGGAACCAAATGATCCTTCGTTTATAGGCGGACCAAGGCCGACTATGACCAAGTTAATGGTAATTAAATTGTCATATTGAAGTGCTTTTCAAAAAAATTCATATGTAACCTTGGTGAGAAATCTATTCCCATTGGTAGTCATATTTTCATATTATATATGTTCTCAATTTTATTTATAACTTAAGTCACTTTATACCAATTATTTTTTGCAAGTCTTATGCATTCATGTGAAGTATGAGGGGGAGCTTCAAAAAGCCCATGGAAAAAAATTAGTTTTTCATGAATTTCTTGAGACCACGTTAAAGTAAATTGGATAGTTACAATATTTAATATTACATGTCTTTGGAGTCAAAATATAATATATGCCTTAAACATACCTTTAAATATATTCAATACATTGGTCAAAGTAAGTAGCATTATACACTGGTAAAGTATATTGTTTCCAACTGTTGTTGCAAGATTTTGGCTATTTTTCCACCCTATTTTAAGATGATAAAAGGCAAAGATAAGTGAAAATGAAAGCATCAATTTAATTTCCAGTGTTTTACCTATACTTAGAATTTCAGAATTTTTTGGATTTGAGTTTTACTTTATTCATTTATTTTAGTGCCTTTGTTATTTAATGAAAATGTATATGACATACTCTTCCCTGTTTGAGGTATAATTTGTTTTTGTAGTACCAATTATAGAATTTCTCACCAATAAACTTTGTTTTCTCTTCCATTCAAACCAATATGCAAAATTATTTTCATTAGAGAATAGTTGGAGATTTATTGGAATAAAGAAAAATTTAAGTACCATGGGGTTATATGGGAAAAATAGTCTCCCTATTTGGGTTGGGACATACTTGAGTTCTATAGTTGGCAGAAAATTTGCTCACTTAAAAAAGTACAAAACATCTTTAATCATGATTAAACCTTTCTTCTTCAGCTAAGTTCTGTTCGTCTATGAAGCATTGCTATAGAGTTTATTTTAGAAAATATCAAGTAGAAATATGTACAAGTTGATCAGCCTTGATCAGGTGGTTTCACTGCCCAGAGACCTCTGGCTCATATCTGGACTATTTTAAACAAATAAATTACCAACACTTTACCAGGGTGAACTGTTTAGTATTAAAATCCTCACTTTAAAAAAAAAAAAATAAATAAAATAAAATAAAATAAAATCCTCACTTTATAAATTCTAAAAATCCAAAATGTGTGCTTTTAATGCATAGTAATGTAGAGCCTTGAAAGAAAAACTGTTCAGGTTTATAGGTGTGTTTCCAACTTCCTTAATATATGCAAGTTTGAATCCTCATGTAAGAGAAAGAGTCACAGAATGACATTAAGAAACCATGAATTCTATACAAAGGGACAGTTCTACTCTGGCCTATAGGGTTGACATGAGTTGGAACTGACTGGATGGCAAAGGGTTCAGTTTTGGGCATTAGGTGAGAGCAGCCTGACTGGTACAGTAGCTAAACTCTTGGTTGCTAACCAAAAGGTGTTGATGGTTTGAATTTACCAAGTGCTTCCTGGAAGGCAGATATAGCAGACTGCTTCAGTAAAAATTGCAGGCTTAGAGCTCCTATGGAACAGTTCTACCCTCTCCTCTTTAGAGCGCTCTGAGTTGGAATCCACTCTCTTGCAAGGGGTTTGGTATGGCTGATGTCTTGTGTTAGTTCAGGCCCTCCAAAACACAAGATTCAAAGATTCAGTAGACATGCAAGAGGTTATGGAGAAAAACACTTCTCATGAAAAATGGGTATTTCTGGTTTTCTCCGTTTTTAGCCAAGATCCATCTGACATATCCCTTGTTCCAGGTCCTCTTTTGAATCCAGCCTGAACCTCTGGCAGCTCCCTGTCAGTGTGCTGCTGCAACTGTTGTTGGAAGATCTTAAGAAAAATTTTACTTACATGTGTTATCAATAATATTGTTCTATAATTTGAACATCCTTTTGGGTCACTGTTCTGTATGGATCTCTTTCAGTCAGTTGGGCAAGTAGCTGTCTTTCAAATATCCTGGCATAGATGAGTGAGTGCTTCCAGTGTTTCATCGGTGTACTGAAACAGTTCAATTGGTATTCCATCAATTCCTGGAGCCTGTTTTGGGCTAATGCTTTCATGCTACTTGGACTTATTCCTTCAACACCATTGGCTCTTGCTCATATGCTATCTCCTGACATAGTGGGATGTCGAGTAGTTCTTTCTGGTACGATGACACTGTGTATTCTTTCTATCTTCTTCTGATGCTTCCTGCACCATTCAATATTTTCCCATAAAATCTTTCAATATTGCAACTGGAAGGTTGAGTGTGTGTGTGTGTGTGTGTGTGTGAGAGAGAGAGAGAGAGAGAGAGAGAGTTTTCCTAGTTGAAGATATGCTGAGCATTTTCTTCCTTTTAGGTTTTCTAACTCTTGGTCTTTGAACATTTCATTTTAAGTATCAGAGTCTCGTCTGATATCCACTTTGATCTTTTCTTTATTTCCTACCTGTTTAATGACCTCTTGCTGTCTTCATGTGTGATGTCCTCCCACAGCTCATGAGGTCTTCTGCCATTAGTGTTCAGTGCAGCAAATCTGTTCTTGAAATATTATTGAAATTCATGTGCGATAGACTCATGATCATATTTTAGCTTTTGTGGATTGTTTTAATTTTCTTCAGTATCAAGCTAAACTTGCATATGAGCATTTGATGGTCTGTTCCACAGTCAGCTCTTGGTCTGGTTTTGGCTGGTGATATTGCGCTTCTCATCATTCCTTCCCATATACATTTTATAGTATATATAAAAGATAACTATGATATTACATCCACATATAAAACAAAAAGGAAAACTCAAATCTAAACAATTGATTTTTTATTTTAATTTTAATTAGATAGAACATATTAACATCAAAGATTTTTTTTAAAACTCAGGACATTGTTTTTTAATTGCTAATAAAGTTCTCTACTGATATCTGTTAAAAGTATATTATATAATTTTATTGATTTTATTTATATAATAACCTTTCAATAAACCCAGTATATTTTGTGTTAATTACATGAGAATATATGAAATTGCCAAGTAGAAATCTGAAATAGCTAAGTTTTTCTTTATAGCATTCACAGCTTACTTTTTTTCTTTAGCATAGTTTTACCAGCAAAATCTTCCCGATCCTCCAAAGGATCAGTTTAATTTAATTTTTAATTAATCTGTTTAATTTATTTGTTAACTCAAAATAATTAACATGTCTACTAAACATCAAAGTAGCCCTAATGTCATAGTGGATTAATCACTGAGCTGCTAACTGAAAGGTTGGCAGTTCGAACCTATCAGTGGCACTGTAGGAGAAAGATGAGGGTGCCTCAGAAACCCTGGCCATGTAGCTTACTGTGATTTAGAAGCAACTTAACCCCAGTCTTTTTTTGGGCGGGGGGGGCCTACTAAATACCAAGCCTCTTTGAGTGCTGGATACATAAAGAACTTCCCTGATAGTGCTTACACTCTGTGTGGAAGACAAAGGGCATAAAAACAAAAGCCAAATAAATGTGTAACAATTAGGTAATGATACATGCTATCCAAAAATGATACGGGCTAGAAGATGAAGATGATAGAGGTTTGAGGGCCTTTTTAGCTAGAATGATGAGGATGGCTCTTCTCAGGAGGTGATGGCATTGAAGACATAACCTGGAGTTGGTAAATATATGGAGGGAAAATGTCCTAAGCAGAGAATTCACCTGGTAAAAAGATCGTGAGCAGATCTGTGGAGGCAGAAAGCAGATTTGTAGTAGCCTGGGCCACAAGATGAGAGGTAGAATGGGGTTAGTAGGTGAGTAGTAAAAGTATGCTAAAATTAGTTATTGATGACCGTTGACCAACTCTGTGAATTTACTAGAGGCTACTGAGAGATATACTTAATAAAGTAAAATTTATGGTGTGTGATTTATGCATGCGTTTGGTGAAATTAGCAGTAGAAAGGACATTGTGGCTAGAGTAGAACCAGGAGATAGAGGAATGATAGGTGATTTCACAGAGGTATATTTATCTTTCTGAGGAAAATCGGTTCTCTAAACCTTTAGGCCCAATGAAGAAATGTACCGACACTGCAAGCTAAGCATTGGGCTGCTGAGGAAGGTAGGCAGTTCAAACCCACCAGCCACTCCAAGGGCAAAAACTGGGGGGCCATCTGCTTCAGTCTCAGCAACCCTGTCTATAAGTCCTCGAAGTTAGAATGTAACCAGTGCCAGTGGTTTTGATTTGGGGGTTTATACACCCCAACACTTAACAACAGACCCAACATTATAATCCTGGAGCCTGAATTAAACTAGTTTTTAATAATGCTAAGTCATCCATTAACCAAGACTTAATGGTTGGCTCTCATTAACTAACTGATATAAAAGAGTTAATGATTAATTCTCGGAGATTTTCTCTTTTGAATAGGGTATTGTTGAAGTTAAAAATACCTGATCCATGGGTTTCCATCCTGTGGACTGTGGACCCAAATGTTATTAGAGGGCGTCTTTGGATTTTTATACATGCCACACGTTGGCTATGGATTAAATAATAAAGGCCCAGCTGCCAACGTGAGGAAGGAGTTTGTTTGTTTTTAACCACTTTTAAAAGGGCACCTCATTCTTTACAATATTATGAAATGTATTGTTAAATCAGAAGACTTCATTTTTGAGAGCTTACATCAACTTGTGGAAGACTGCTGTCGGGGTGATGTTACTGTGTGTGTGTGTTAAGAGTGTGGGGCTGGGGTGCTATAGACACAGCTCCTGGGCTGTGGCAGTTTTCACGTGTGTGCAGGCAGCCTGTGATGTATGATATACACAGGCAGACTCAGGGTGGACTGCTTTTGGTGGGATTGCTTTTGATAACATTTTTTTTTTTTTAAATCCTCAGGTGACCCAGTCTCTTTCTGTTTAGATTGGTATTTTCCTGTAATACCAGCTGTCAGTTCCAACATACAGCTACCCCATGTACACAGAACAGAGTCCTGTGCCATTCTCACAATCATGGAAATAATTTTTTTAAACATGTCACTTCATACTCTTCTATTATTAAAAATAATAGATAACTCAGATGTAAAAAAATGTCTCAAAATATAAAGTGCCTTACATTACTAATTATTTTGGGAATTGATTATTGCTGCTTTTGCTTTCCTTTTGTAGTAGAAACTTTTGCCTTCTAGACAAAGCAGTGTTTTATTAATACATCAATTTAGAAAGGGCTGGTTTCCTTTTACAGGAGAAGGGCATTGAAGTGGTGTTTTCTCCCCACCCATGTCCTACCTGGACCGTTGATTGGAATACTCTTCCTGCAGCTGTGAGCCCAAAGGAAGGTGAGTTTCTGCATTTTTCTTTTTCTTTTTTGTTGTTGTTACTTTTACGTTTTCCCTTAAGTTTTACTCACAATCTGGTTGCTCTCTTCAGATCTGTTTTTCAATTCTTTCTTCAGTGATAGGTAATATTCTATATATAATACTACCCACTGAATTTTTAAGCATTATGTAACCATATCTACATATTATTCACATTTAATATTTTCCATATTTTTTGCATTTGCTTTATTTACTCCTTTTTCTTCCTTTGCTGCAGTATTTCAAAGCAAATTCCAGACAGAATACCATCATTTAACATGCATCTAAAAATTATTGAATCTTTTTGCATAATATATAATGCCATTATCACATCTAATAAAAAATTAAGAAATGTTTCTTGATCATCTAGTGCCTGACTCATAATCAATTTTTCCCAATTGTTCAAAAATATCTTTTAAAGTTAGCTTTTTAGTTCAATTATATTTGTCATTTATACAAATTATATTTGGTTTGTTTATTTTTTATAACATTCTTTCCCTTCTTCCTGTTTCAGTTTCCTTTTTTTATACATAAGTATTTTCCTATTTGGCATATTTTACTTCTCACAGTTAACACTCAGAGAGTTTTAATTCTGATGTTTGTTATTCTTACCCCACTCCCAGCCCCCAAACCATTTTATTAGGAGCTAATCCAAGCATCATACTATTCCAAACACTGTTGCATCAAGCAATTTTGTACAATTGCTACCAAATCCATGTCGAACATTTTCTTCCTTCTTGAGTTCTTTGATATCAGCTCCCCTTTATCCACCACCATCTCACGAATCCTCCAGGAACCTTTATTCCAGTTGTTGTTCCTGTAAGTTCATCTCCTCTGGGTTTCCTATAACAAAACACATAGAAAAACACAACAATTCAAGAAGGCTACCCACAGTGACAAAATACAACAAAGATAAACCTCAGTATGAAAAAAACCCCACAGAAATTGTTGTTTCTTTTGACTTCTCTTCCTAGTGTCTCATTTCCTTAGAGCTTTGTAATTGCAGAGCGAACTCCCTTTGTAGTTTCTCTGAAGCTGTGCGAGTTCTGAGAGGACTGTTGCTATGTTAGATGTCATCGAGTCAGTTCCAACTCACAGCTACCCCATGTACACAGAACAGAGTCCTGTGCCATTCTCACAATCATGGTCATGTTCAAGCCCATCATTGCCACCACTGTGTCAGACTGTCTGGTCAAGTCTTCCTCTTTTTTTCTGCCTCTCAACTTTGACAAGCATGATGTCCTTTTCCAGGGACTGGTCCCTTCTGATAGCATGTCCAAAGTAGACGAGACGACATCTCGCCATCTTCACTACTAAGTGATAATCCAAAGTCCGTGAGCCAAAGTCTCACCATCCTTGCTTCTAAGGAGGAGTATTTCCCCTATTCTTTATTGCAGGATTGTAGAACTGAGGTATTTAACCTTGCGGTTGTCAATTCTAACAAAGTCCACATTGCATGGGAAGAGGCTCTCTATGACATGAAATTATTACATAGAGGTGAGGGGAGATCTATGAATATGTTCACAGATTTATATTCCGGCACTGTTACCTAGGAGAAAATGAATTATAATAATATTTCAATCCATACTTTGTTCCTTTAAATATGTCAAAGACAGACTTCTTATACTGAATCCATTGATTTACATCAAAATTTTGGTGCATAAGAAGTGCCCTCTTTACTAGGAAAGATTGTCTTAATCCTCATGATGGATTTTAATATATATCCTTTTAAGCTAGCCTTTCCCATACTTTCAGCTTTTCTCAATTTCTCTGCCGCCAGCCCCTGATTTTTTCACTGTTTTCATTATATAGCCATTACTATCTGCATGCTTTTACTTTTATTTTCCCTCCAGCCTTGAATGCTGTTCTTCCCATTTCCTTTGTCTGAAATTATAGTCACCATTTTAGGGAGAATTCAAATCCTGCTGTCTCCAATCAGCCTTCTTGCATGAGCTCTCAGGCAACCTGGTGGAGTTTGAAGCATTGTTGTTCTATTTACTTCTAAATAACTTGTGATCAGATACTTTTATATCATCTATACAGTAGTGATAATAGTACTTACCTTATGGGGTTGTTGGGGATATTCAATGTCTGTCTGTCTGTCTGTCTATCTATCTATCTATCTATCTATCTATCTATCTATCTATCTAATACACCTAGTTCAGTAGCTAGTACATTGTAGCTGTTAAATATTAGCTGATATTTAATTAGCTTTTAAATATTAGTGGATATCACAATTAATCACTTTCTCTCTCAACATTTCTTTAGTACTTTTTTTTTAGAATAGTAGACTTTATTTTTTTAAAATACTTTTATGGGGTCCTCTTACATCTCATACAATCCATACATTCATCCAGTGTGTCAAGCACATTTGCATACATGCTGCCCTCATCATTTTCAAAGCATTCTCTTCCTGTGTACTTTCTCATATGAAGAGATTTCAAAAGCTTCATGGAAATCTTCCATTACCTTTTAATTTCACTTTCCATGAATTTTTTGAATGCCCCTCATACTTATGCTTTATATTTATACTGTTTTTCTTGTACTATAATTATTTATGTACACATTTTTCTTCTCCAATAGACTGTGCACTCTTTGAATGTAGGATCCCAGTGGATAGACAGTCAATATAATTTTAAATTAAATTGAACTGAAGTGAAACCACAGATTCTATTTTAATTCTAGAAATATCTGCTTAAGCTGGGAAACTCTTTGGATTTGTTTTATTTAAATATCAGATAGATTTAAAAGGTTAAACTAATTGAGACTTTTTTAGGTTGACAAAAAGTGAACCAAGAAATTAGTATAATTTATTGTTAGTATTATTATATATTTTTTCTGAGCCATTTGAAAATAAGTTGCAAGCATCCTGCCCCTTTATTTCTGAATATTTAACTTTTCCTAAGAACAAAGACATGCTCTTACATAGTCGTGATATAATTATTGAAACAGAATCGTTAAGCCATTATGTACTATTATCTATTCTAGACTCCACTCGATCATAGTAAATTTGACATGTGTTTTTGTTCTTCTTTCATGTAAAACAGTCTCTCAACCTTTCTTTGTCTTTTGGATATTTTAGAGGATTTCAGCAAGCCCCCCCCCTCCCCCCGCCGCAAAGGGAATGACGTTTCTTCATGATATAGACTGGAGTTATGTATTTGTGGAAGCAGACCATCAAAGTCATGCTGTGTCTTTCCAGTGCACCTTTTTTAGGAGACACATTATTTCAGTTTTCTCTGTGATTTTAATTTTGATCATTTTGTTAAATGATCTCTAATGTTAGCTTAGTTTCTCTGATGTTAATTAAAGTTCTCATACAGATAAGTGTGGTAAGATGTTTCTGTGCAAAATAAATTATACTAATTGAGGAATAAAAGGGCTAACTTAGTATTAGTCATATCCCCGGTAGAGATTTGGCTGGAATATCAAATCTACAAAGGAGGCCTTGTGGCATGGTTGGTTATGCATTGAGTTGCTAACCTCATGGTGGTGAGTTCAAAACCACCAGCTGCTTTGTGGCAGATGGATTATAGGAGGGAGTCTGCATCTGTAAAGATTTACAATCTCAGAAACTGTAAAGAGTGGTTCTATGAGTCAAAACCAACTTGATGGACATGCCTTTTCTTTTCATTTCTAGCCAGTAGCCTAGGAATTGCATGTTTTCAAATACTATTTGGTCTCAAATACCTGTGTGGCATTTCCTACTAAAAAAAAAAAAGATAATTATTATTTGAGCCTGAAGACTGCATTTGTTAAGTCCAGAAGGAGAAATTAGAGCCCTTTCCTTTTAGCCCTCTGTCATAGCAGCCTTAATTGAAACATTCCATGTGGCATTCTTCTGTAGCCTTCTATTTTCCTCCAGTAATCCTTCGAGGAGTTGTCTCTAAATCAGGAGTTTCTCCTTACCTAGAATTTGATATCAAAGTTTGCTACTAATGTAAGATAAATAACATTACAGCTTTCCAAATGTTTTTTTTTACAAATAAAAAACCCGTCTCCCCCCTATTTTTACGTGGAGTCCATCCAATAAAAGAACCTGAGATATTTAGTAACTTTGAAACTATGAAAACATCTGCTTTAGACCATTTTGCTCCCACGTCATCATGGAATAATTATCAAAACAGAATAGGTAGTCCCTTACATGGTACATGCCTATTCTTTAGTCCACTAAATCACAGCAAATTCACCATGTCTCTAGTTTCCTTTGAGGAGCGCTGGGACTATAGTGGTTATGCTTTGGGCTGCGATCTGCATGGTCAGCAGTTCAAAACCATGTGCAGCTATGAGGGGGAAAGGCTGCGCTTTCTACTCAGGTAAACAGTTAGCCTCCAGGACTCACAAGGCATCACTATTAGTCAGCATTGACTCGATAAGAGTGAGTGTGGTTTGGTTTTTATTTTTGCAAATACTAGTCCTAATTTCTTGTTTCAACGAGTTAGATAAGAATCACACTTAGTTTATTTAAAAATTTTTTAAAGTATTCTCAAACCAAAAACCAAAGTCATGGCCATCGAGTTGATGCCAACTGATAGCGACCCTGTAAGATAGGGTAGATGTGCCCCTGTGGGTTTCTGAGACTGTAACTATGGGAGTAGAAAACCCTGTCTTTTTTCTGAGGAGCGGCTGGTGATTTCAAACTATTGACCTTGCAGACTGCAGCCCAATGCTTAACCACTACAACACCAGGGCTCCCTTAAAATCTCCAGAGTAAGACAAAGCAAAGATCTATTCTTCCCTTGATTTTTTGGTCTGATAATAACTATCTTTAGATTACAAGCAGTTATATTTTGAACCTTTTGACATTTAAAGAACTGAAAGCAAAAGAAGACTAGGGTCAAAGAGTGTTTTTTACTATCCCTGGCATAAATATTTTTCAATTTTCTAAGTGCTTCTTAGTTATGAAATTGAAAACATAACCATATTTGACTAAAAAAATCTAAAAGTTTAGAATTTTTAAAAAATTTCAAGCGTGAAGTTCA